TCATTCTATTCTTTTATCATATCAGAACTGGGAAAAGAATGAAATTTTCTGTTTCAGTACTTTGAGGTTCATAGTTCATTCTTCCAGAAAAGAGAGTCCAACGACCTTCCAAACCAGCACACACACACACACACACAACACAATAATTGCTTTTTAATGAAGCCCACTGAAAAGTCTGGTACGCCCTTGAGGAAATTACGTTTACATGGCGTTAAGCTTACAGGCGTCTGCAAAGAAGCCTTCCACAGGCTGCCCGTGCATTCCATTTCCATTATTAAGTCTTTATATTAAGGAATTTTGATATAACATCGTACTATACACTTTCCAGTCATTCATAAAAATAACTACAGAACGATTCTCTCGTGTACTGTAAAAGCTTAGAAAGCGACCAGACAATATTTTTACACTTTATTAAGCAAAGAAGGACGTAAACGTCGAAGATGGCTGTTTCCTAGGATGTTGAGAAGACGTTTCGGAGGTGATTACCGCCGTCATCGTCCTCATGATGGAGGCAGTAACCACGTCTGAAACGTCGGCTCAACATCCTAGAAGACAAACCATCTTCATCCTCGTCGCCATGAGAAGCAAAAGTCTCAGGAAATAAGCCTTCGTCAGCGGGGAATTTATCTTCGATTTCATACTGAAATTCTGGAGGCTTATCTCAAGAAACGTGCGCGCATGAATGGAAAATCGTCCATTTGGGAAGATTACGTCATGCTCTTCCAGAAAACGTTAAATCGGGGAACACATTGTGACTGGTTATGTTTATCACCACGCATTTTAGGTGTTCTTCACGCTTTAGTGCAACTGAAGAACACTTATGGGCCCGTCCATGTCATATCATCACAGTTACAACAACGACATTAAAACACATTGTTACAACAATGCCCTCAGATCTTTTTTTTTATTTTCAGTGTTCTGTCTGAGGACAGGTCCATATGAACAGGATCCTTCCATCCTTTTCTCGGACTGGGACCTGTTCATATACGTTCTTGGCAGATGATCCAGAAGTGGTTTGCCATTGCCTTCTTCTGTGTGTGAATGGAGTAATTCTTGGGATGCCACGGAGAAACCGGAGAAGCCCCCGGAGGAAAACTCCGTGTTGCCTAGACCACGGCCTTGCCCAACACAAGTTATAAATTCGTGCACCGCCGGGAATCGAACCCGGGACCCCAGGATTACAAGGCCAGCGTTCTACCCGCTAGACCACCGTGGCATTCCTCAGATACCACTATTGCACATGCCACTCACTTGAGTGCCCTGATGACGTCATCACAAGCATTATGGCATCAAAAACACCTCTGTAATTTTTGCGTACTCCGAAGAGTACACACACCTTTCCAAACTTTTATTTTCGCACTAAAGTGGGCGGAAGGCAACAGGACAACCGGTTATTCTGTGGTTTTACTCCATTCTGGGGGACACAGGATAATATTAAAGTTTAGAACGGGGACAAAAACTCCACATGATTTAACCTTTATGTTGCATAACCAATGAAGCTGATACGACGTTGTCAAATAATATATGATACTGTGGGAAGTGCCAGAAGAGTTAAAACCTAAAGAATGTGGCTTAAAAAAATGACGCGGGCCTTCGCCAACACATCGTATATGGTACTGTGGGAAGTGCCACCTAAAGAATGTGGCTTAAATAAATGACGCGGGCCTTCGCCAACACATCTTTGTACAGACTGACGCCTCGTATATGAAATTATATTTGATTGTGTGTTCAAAATTTGTAATTACGTTAGAAACCATGGTTAAGTACCTCGTGATGGAATGCGGCAGAGATGAAAACCGAAGTCGGAGGCCTCCAAAGTGGGAAAGCGATTAGATTAGCGCCCCCAGGCAAGGCGGATAACAGGGGGGGAAGTTGAGGTGACTGGCGGCCCGGACTGTACAACCAAGTTCTGCTCCTCCTACTTCAGAAAGGAATGCCATCCGCGAACTACAGAATGCTCGACTTTAAAATCAACAGGAACTACCACACACGAACCCCATCCATTCACGACAATGGCAATATCCCATTGTTGCAGCTCATGCACTGCTTGAAATCGGCGCGGTCGTAGTTTCAGCTGTTTTGTCACTCAAAAAATGTGTTGTCTTACTCGGTACTTCCTTGTCACGTGCTTAACAAACGAACGAACAAATACACCCGCACCTCAACTGGCGTGAGCAGCAGCCTAGTAAATTCGATGACCTTGACTGGAGTATCGTGGGGGGGAGAATCGGAGAGTCCGTCACACGGGGTGAATCTGCTTCAGATTTAATTTTTGTAACGCAATACGTAATCGTTCGAGTTGCATTTTAAATAGCACACCCTGTATGGCGCGAATTTACGCAGTATTTTAAATTAAAACTTGCCTTTAAATTA